CCCCCGGGGGGGGTTTTGCCCCCCTTTTTTTTTGGGGGGGGGGGTTTGGGGGGGGGGGGGGGGGGGGGGGGCCCGGGGGGATGCGAAGTCAAAAGTGGGAGGGCCTATATCTGTAAAAACATTTTCCTATAGCTATGTTCTGATTCACATGTAAAATAAAAAAATGACAAACACGGTCATGGGAAAGGGGGGGACTGGAGAAAAACTATGATTTTTTTTTTAAAAAGGTGCGAATGCTGGAATAAACTTTCAAATATACAGGCCACCAGTCAAAGGTTTGGGACACCCCCTACTCATTCCAGGGGTTTTCTTATTTTTACTATTTTCTACATTGTAAAATAATAGTAAAAGACATTCAAAACTATGAAATAACACCATATGGAATCATGTAGTAACCCAAAAAAGTGTTAAACAAATCAAAATATATTTATATTCGAGATTATTCAAAGTAGCCACCCTTGCCTTGATGACAGCTTTGCACACTCTTGGCATTCTCTCAACCAGGCTTCATGAGGTAGTCACCTGGAATGGCATTTCAATTAACTGGGTGCCTTGTTAAAAAGTTAATATGTGGAATTTATTTCCTTCTTAATGTGTTTGAGCCAATCAGTTGTGTTGTGACAAGGTAGGGTTTGTATACAGAAGATAACCCTATCTGGTAAAAGGACCAAGTACATATTATTGGCAAAAACAGCTCAAATAAGCAAAGAGAACAGGGACAGTCCATCATTTCTTAAAGACATGAAGGGGTCAAGTTCAAATCAGGAACCAACAACATTTTTCAAAGAATTTGGGAAGGTGCAGTTGCAAAAACAAAAAAAAAAAAAAAACCCATCAAAGAAACTTAATGAAGGGAAAAAAAAAAAACCCCTCGGGCCTCTCATGACTGCCACAGGGGGGAAGAACCCAAGAGGTTACCCTCTGTTGCAGAGGGATAAAGGGTTTAAATTTAAAGGAGTTTACCAGCCTTCAGGAAAATTGGCCAGGGCCGAAAATAAAAATGCTTCCACAGAGTTCAAGGTAAACACAGGGGTGGGACACATGTTCAAAATCAAAAACGTTCAGAGGAGGGGGGGGACTGCGTGGAAATTCAGGGCCTTATGGGTCGGGAATTGCTGCAAAAAAGGGGAAAACCCCCCACTACTAAAAGGGACCACCAATAAGAAAAAAGGCAAAACCAAGGGGGGGGGGGGGACTGCCTTTGGGGGGTAAGAAAAAACAAAGAGCCAAATGGGGACATGAAAAAACGGGGGGAAATGGAAAAAAAAATCTGTCCTGTGGTCTGATTGAGTCCAAAATTTGGAAGGATTTTTTGGTTCCCAACCGCCGTGTCTTGTTGAGGGGGACAGCAGGGAGTCGGTTTGAACACGGTGATTTCTCGCCAGTGTGGTGTCTTAATGTGAACCCATGGAGGGAGGTGTGATGGGGTGTGGGGTGCTTTTGCTGTTGGGAACAATGCGGTGATTTTATTTTAGAATTGGAAGGTAACCAGTTTGTAGTTTTGGGGGTGGGGGGGGGGGGGGGGGGCCCCCCTCCAACTATATTTTGCCCACCTTGGTAATATGTTGGCAAAAAAAAAAAAACAAAGGGCTGTTAAAACAAAAAATATTTTTGCTGTAATTTTTTTTTTTTTTTCCTCTTGGGGTTTTATATTTCCAAAAAAAATTTTTCACAAAATCAAAACCTTAAAAATTTAAAGTTTAAACAAATGATTTGGAAAAAAAAAAAATTAATGTTGAAATAAAAATGGAAAAATAATGTTTTTTTCCTCCGAAAAAACCATATTTGCCACCCAAAATTATTGGGCCAACCCTACAAAAATTCTTATGGAGTAAAAAAAAATTCTAAAAAAACTGAAAGTTTATTCCCAATTCCACATTTTAAGGTTTAAGTTTCAACTGGGAGTGATTAGGGAAAAAACCCCAAACTAAGTTGGTAAAAGCCATTTGAACTTTTCATGTTTCACCTGGGGTATAAAATAGGATGTGAACAAACACCAGGGACAAGGTCCCATAGGTCATTCCAAAACTCAAACCAAAAAAAAAAAAATTTGGTTTTCCACTGACCACAAAAATCCCAAGGGGGGGGTTTTTTTTTGCCCATGGGCCATTCCCGTTCCACCTGAACCTTAAAAAACCACCAAAAAAACACTGTGGGATTGAGATTGAAAGCGAGGGGTCCCCAAAAACAAGCGTGGACCTCAGGGGAAATTCTGAAGGACATCTGGAGGAACGATTTTCTGTTATGGAGGAAGTGGGTCTTCAATTCCCCTTGCATATGGGGTTACCCCCAAAAAAACCTAAATTACGCATTTATAGGAAGGACAGAACTCCAGAGCTTGGTATCTGGGCAAAGGGGAAGTTTGCCCACAAAAAATTATTTTGTTTTTTTAGTGTAAAATTTCTTAATTTAAATTATTTTCTTTTACTTGTAATTTAAAGGTTAAGATTTGGGTGAATATTTTAATGAACAGGGGGGAACCCCCCAGCGGAAAAAACACAAAAAAAAAGAAATTTTTTTTTCCCCCCACAAGCCAGTTTTGTCATAAATTTACCCAAGGTGCCAATATTTTTTAGGGGCACGTAACCAGAAAATTTGGGCAAACCACAAGGGCATTTCTTGCATTGGGATGACGGGCATCCCATATTTGGTTTTTGCGTTTTAGTGGGGAACTATTCATTGTTTTTCAAAAAACAGGGAACAATGGGGGGACTTCCACAAACAAACCAACCTCCAAGGCTGTTGTAAGGGATAGTTGGACCAAAGAAGGAGGGGGGGGGGGATGGGACGGGAGTGCGCATTCAGAGGAACCTGGGGCCCTCCCCACAATTCAACCCCAAACCTCAAACCCAATTGGAGATTGGTTTAGGGGGATGGGAGTTGGGGGGGAACCCGCAGAGGTTGAGAAAAAAAGGCAGCCAAAAACAAGTTGCTCAGGGCATTTAGGGTGGGGAAAAAAAAAAGGGGAAAACCCTTTCAAGGGACTGGCTGGAAAAAAAAAGCATTCCAGGTGAAAGCTGGTTGAAGAAAAGAATGGCCAATAGTGGGGCAAAGGATGTCATCAAAGGGCCCAAAGGGGTGGCTCCTTTGAAAGAATTCTAAACTGGTAAAAAAAAATTATATTTGATTTGTTTAAACAAAACTTTTTTTGGTGGTTTCACTAACCATTGTCCATTTGTGTGTTATTTTCATTTTAGTGCTGGATGGTCTTCCAACTTATTAGTTCTATAATGTAGGAAAAATTAGTAAAAAAAATAACAAAAACAAAAAAAACCTTGGAAATGAGTTGGTTGTTGTCCAAACTTTTGAAATTTTGGTGAACTGTATATCAAAAAAACCAAAACTTAGGGGGAAAAACTGGTAATCATTAGGAAAAGTAGGATTGATTTCTATTTTAAGAAACCCAGTTGGTGTTT